AGATTAATTAAATAAGATTTATTTTCTGTGATATTATCTTCAACTTTTATAATTTTAAATATCAAATATATATCTCTATAACTTTTATTATTAATTATTATAACAACTTTTATATATTATCAATATATAAAATTATGTATTTATTATACACGAAAAGATGGAATAATCAACAATATTGTTCCTCAATTTATTTCTTTTTTTTTTTTTTTTAATAAGAATTTTAATTTCAAAAATAAAATTCTTAAATCACACCATAAAAATTTGTCGTTCAATAATTAATTATTTTCAATGAATAAATAAAATAACAAATATAAATGGAATACAACAAACAAATTGAACAATTATTTTTATTCCATAAGAACGCGGAACACGATGAAAGAGAAGAATATTTTCTTCACGTAGAAATTCATTTTTAAGATTAGCAATAGGGGTTTCAAGAGGAAAGGGGAAAATTAAATTGACGAGAGAAAAACAGATGAGAAAATAGACATTTAGATAACAGTTGCGTATTCAACTTGAACGATCATCGTAATACGCATTAAACGAAAGTTTGAACCATTAGGATATATTAAATCATCATCTTTCTCGTAGAAACATTATCAAAGTTAGTTGCAAAGTAAAGCTCAATGACCGTTCTCTTCATACCAAGAAGAATATAATTTTACACACACACACACACACACACATACACACATACACATAAACACCTATTATGTATATCATTTCTTTAGTTATACATATACACATTCATTGAATATAAAAATAATGAAATATAATCAAAACGTGTATATATATATATATATTATTCTCATTTGTGTGTAGATGTGTGTGTTTGTTTGTTGTTTATTTGTTTGTTTGTTGTGTGTATATATGTACAATTAAATAATTGGAGGAGGGGGGGAGTAGGAAGAGAAAATACTTTAAACTCGTGTTCTGAATATAACCAACGGGTCAAGAACAAAGATATTTTTAAACTATCCACGCGATGGAATTACATCACGATTCTCTTTAGCTTTCCCATCTCATTCGTTCTCTTTTCTTAAGATATTCCTGACGATTCATGTTGATTATCAGTTAGTATTAAATACATGTGTATACGATTTTACGGTAACCAAATTTGTAAACTCAAACAGAAATCATGTAAATTCGAAATTTTTCGTCTTCCTTCTTGCACAGATAAAAACTTTAATTCTTATGGTTTTTTTAGAAGGGCACGGAAAAAAAAAGTAAAAGACGTGGGACGTGGTAAAAAAAAAAAAATGTGGAAACTCGTTGAGTATCGAAAATTTAAATAAGAATAGAAACGTGTGACGCGTTTGACATTAAATTTATTCGGAATTATTGCACTTTTTTCCTGATTGAGAATTTTTCTGATATATTGTGTATAAATAAGACAAGAAAATGATCAATTTTTCATTTGAGGTAACACGAAATATGTTTCTGAAAAATAGATACGATTATTAAATAATCAACTTATTATATCAGGTTTGAAAATTTATATTAATAAGTTTTCTGTATAAAAATTATTAATAATTAATTA